TCTGTGAGTTCCTGACAGCTTACATCTGACAGCTTACGACGTTTGCATGAGGAGGTCTGGGGACACTTGAGGCATCGATCTGGATTTTGGCTTTTTCTGGATTGCCAGCCATTACCACGATGGGTATTTCCGGGACCCCAACCAATGCATATTACGGGCTCAGGCCTTGCGCCTTTTTGGGAAATGGGCCCCAGGGCGCAGAGCGACACGGAGCCGACTGTTTGGTGTTGGAGGTTTCTGGCCAAAGTACAGGACCACGTTGTCCCAAAGGGTTCTCAGTTGGTGCAATAGGCCTTCTGACTGGCATTTGAGGTTACGGCCCTATGAGACGGGAACCTTAATATGACCTGTAGTCGGCCCTTCGGACCCTGTGGGTCATTCAGCCCTTTAATCGAGCGCTTGATCTTCGGTCCGACTGTTAAACTGTTCGTTACTGTTGGTGCTTGACCGATATGGAGGTCTCTATCGAGTAAGGCGGTCTTCGGTCGACGCAGAGGGTCATCTCTGACAGGCAGTTATTGGTCAGGCTCTGCGGACCGGCCCGCTTAATGATAACTCCGGTGCCAGCCCTTCAGCCCCTGCGGGCCCTCAAATCGGGGCCCAAATCATCAGTAAGTCGAGGGGCCATTCGAGCCCCTTGGGATATAGTGGGGGGGGGGGGGGGGCACGTGCCCCCATGTTCCCTCAGCTTACACCACTGTGAGTCATTCTCTCACCATTAAATCTGGCCATGGGCCATTGCCGCGACTTAACGTGAGCAGAAATCATTGTCAGCGATGGCTTTATCAAGGATGGTTCGGTGGGTCCTGTTGCTCGGTGCTTATGAGTACCGCCCTGGCTGCAACGCGGTGTCCTGCGACGCTCTTAGCAGGCCCTCTCCTGCGGATTCCGCCTCCATTAACGTCTCCGTGCCGGCGTAGACGGCTCATCGGAATAAGCTTTTGGACTCCGCCGGCGTGTGTCCTTAATATTCGATTGTGGACATCCAGAGACCCTGTCCTGTCAGGCGTGTATAAGTGTATTCGTGACGGTGTGTGGGAGCTTACGGCCGATTTCAACCCCGATGTTCAGCCATAGAAGTGTCGAGTGGGACGCTGAGCGCTCGCCAGGGCCGCGTGCGTCGGGAGCACGTGTCATAATCCCGCCGCGAGGCTAAGCTAGCGTGCCAACGTGCACGAGCGGCGTCTAGGATAATTTCGGACGAAGATCCCGGCTCGAACGTACTTATGATGGCAAAAACTGTTCTAAGCAAAAGGCCAATGAGGCCAGTCACCTTATTTGACCTTTATATGGTCAAAGTGACCAAATGGTTAAGAGCTTGTTCCTATTCTGTCATTCGAATAAGCGTCAGGAATTACACTAGGTGGTATGCTCCTGAAAACAGATATTGACCTGGGTCATTTTAGGTTAGATACCTACCCTAACCTCTGAAGTCAATGGGACATGTCTGTTGCGATCCCTGTCATTAATAAATTCGAAATGAGCACCAGAAACCACTCCATAAAACCATGCTCTCGAGTAAAACAGCGGGTTAGTTTTGATCTCGGCATGACTTTAATACGCGACCCTTGGTCAATGAAATTGGTTGTAAGTATGAATTCGATTAGTGTACTGCCTAAGAAACCATATGAAATGTTCATGGCCCCGTATACTTTTCCATTGTTGCGTCACATTTTGAACGATTGCTTAGAAATGTCCTTCGCTGATAGTCATGATCTGACTTTGATCTGCCGTAGGTCAGTGAGCTTGCAAGCCACATCCAATTTTTACATCGATAGATCCACTATTCACTTATCTACATCTGTGCAAAGTTTGGCGCGGATGTGCTGCGCCGTTCGGAAATTATTCTGGAAAACCTCGAGGGGGGGGGGAAATTTGACCGCCCACAGACTGCGTGTTAATATAACTATTGCTGCACTGTAACGTCGTTAAATCAATAATTCCTGGTCTAGTGAGGATCGATAACTCGGCATAAGAATTTGGAAAACTCATAATGCCGTTCTTGTTTGCTTTTCCCGCGTAGTTTAGTTTTCGCTATTTTTTTTAAACTTCGAGTTGCGAGTTCCATCCGCTAGCCTCACTTTAATTTCTGGCTCAACATCAGTGCTGCTGATGGGCACTGATGCGACGTTTGTATGAAACATGTTTTTTCTATCATTTAGATTTGTTCCCTGTCCTTCAAAGTTCATCCACTATAAATTTGAAGAAATACTCAGCTAATCATTACGGCTTTAAATCTACAACACCGCTCACAAAAATGTTTGCAAATTTACAAGCTACGGTGTATACGCATTTGGCTTACATGGCTTTGATACAAGCTCGCTTTTTGAGCTCTGTCCATCTCTGTCCTATCGGAGAGTCCGCCCTGGCGTCACTGGGGCTCTTCGGATATACTTGGAAGTAACGCCAGTCACTTTTCACCCTAACGCAGTTGAGTTAGTGCGTGTTTTGTGACTGTAAATCGGTAAAACCCTTTTGGCAATAACAACAGATCTTTTGAAGGGTTTGGGTGACAGAACAGCTTGGTTTTACTCCTCTAACATGACAGCATGCGGTGAATCATTACGTGTTTCCCAAGTTTGGAGGTGGCCACCCACTCTGCCTTCTTCCGCCACCACTGTCCCCGTCTCCTTGTTTAAAAGATGTTCATGAAGAAGGACATAACCAATAACACAACAATTGGGTGAATTGAATGCAGAGGATTCCCTTGCAGAGGATCTATGACCCTTTAACTTATTTGAAAGTTTGGCACGAGCCACACGGCGCCGCATGGGAAGACAGAAAAACAACTTTTGCATGAATGTAAACCCTTGGCTCACACCGACTTTTATGACATGCGAAGGCCTGCAAACTGTTGCATTTCCTTCGTTTTGTGGAAGTACTTTGTGAATACTTACACCTGCTGACGCCCGGCTTGTGTACGCTAGTGTTGTGTAATGGTGGACATCATCGTGTTAAAAACTACCCAAATACTTGTTTTCAACTATATCATGACAATTCATCGTCATTGACGTCATTGCAATGGTGGCCTCTTCGAAATGTGAGGGTCAAGGTTAATTACCCCAGTTGATGCTTGCATGATGAGATTTGATGATGGTTCGCAGGGTCAAAGTGGTTATGGCAGAGCGTCCGACAGGGCGCTGCGCCAGCAGAGCGACGCCAGACTAGCGGGCCTCCTCCCAGCTAAATAGCGGCCCTCCTCCCAGCGCCCAGACACCTCAGCTGCCGTTCAATTCGGTGTACCAGTCCCCAGCTCGCCACAAGTGCGACGTTGGAGTTCCGCGGTGACCGGGGCAGTCAGTAACCGATCCGTTCCACCCAGGGCGACGGGCATAAACAGCCAGAGCGGTACTTGGATGGTTATGAGGCGCTGCCCTCCGCACGAATACGGTCTCGGGCGGCAGACGGTGTGCTCTCACCACTCTTCTGGTCGATGCGAGCGCGGCAGGACCTTCACGGCATGTCGCTGCCGAAAACGAAAGCTATCCCCAGACGCGAACGGCGGGACGTCATCCTCTCGTATCTGTCGAGCAATTGGGGTGCATGCAAATGGGTTCGGGAGGTTACACGCAGTTACAATAACTGCGTAGTTTGGTGGATTACGCTGTCTGACTGATTCGTCAATCGTAACGCCCGAGTGCTCATCCTTGGTTTTGTTTCATGTCTTTGACGCTTTTTGCCTTAGCACCTGTTCCTAGGACTGGTGACACGTTGGATTTAACGCGAACAAGCAGCAGCCGCGCAGTTGGCAATTTATGCGGTCTACAGCTACCTTTAACGTAACATACCGATGATACACTGAGCTATTTTTCTTCACTGGCCCTTGTGACGTCTAAGTTCATGCACATCACAAGAAAGGTAGTGTCGGATTGTTAACTTTCTTAACTTTCTGTCCAGGCTGTGGACGTTCACCTGTTTTGTTTGCAGCATCACCGACGGACAACGACCGTATATGAATCATGATAGCCCCTCGAACAACAATAAGTTAAGACGCCGTCCGTGCAGGCAACGAACTTTCACAAGTTCCACTCACGGCATTTGCATTCTGCATGCTTGGCATCTAAGCTCATGTCTGGAGCCCCGTTTCCATGGTCGCACTGCATGCAAATATATGCATTAGCTCCTTGCAGTAATGCTAATTAACTTATACGCGGGCGTTAGCTTACGTGTGTTTTGTTCTATCTCGCAGACGTGTAAAAGCTGAAAGCATGTTTCATGAGCTTTTAAAGGTCGCCAACCACTCCGAGTGACGTGGGTAAAAAAGAAATGCCTGTGCCGTCTGGAAGTTGTCACATCCTCAAGCTTTCAGAAGACGACGGCAACATATTTGAATGTATTTATGCGGAAGTGTGAGTAAATGCACGTGCAACTACACCAAGTAACCACATCGTTATTTTTGCCGCAGCGCTGCTCTAAAGGTCGCCCAACAACTTGTTATTTGCATGATACAATGGCCTCGTGACGGCTGCCGCAAATAAACGCGTCGCGATAGCCGTGCCCGGCAGACGTCCGGCGCTGCTGTATGTGGGCTTGGCACACCAGGACCCTGCAGCGGAGGGCTGCATCTCAGCCCGAACACTCGGCCGACAGGATCACAGCACTGACCACGCCGAGAGGAACTCTCCAGCAGAAGTTGTGTGCCACGTGACACTGCATTCCAGCCGCCAGCAACCTACTGGGGTCAATGCATCGGCAACGTGCGTATTGCCTGAGCACCGCTCTCAAACTCTCGGCTGACATCCATGCCGCTTTGTTCAGTCGTCTCCGGCTTCAGCGCCGTGCGTGCCCCATTACACCGCTGACATCCATAGCACTACCAGGCTGGTGGCTTTTCTGGTGGCTTTTAGTCGTAACTTTTCTCCGGAAACATTACCTAAATGAAGGCAACAGGAGACTGTCGAAGAAACACTTTCGAACACTGACGACTCGAATCAGTTCAGCCGCCCTCTCGCCGCTTGTTTCACGCGCACATGGGCGTAAGTTGCGCCAGTTCCCCACGTCTACATGTTGGACACGATCTCGTGGCGGCGCTTGAAAGAGAGGTGGTCGTCTCGGGGGTCGTGGCGCTTCTTGGCTTTCAGCCGCTCGCGCATCTCGGCCACAGTCAGGTTCTTCCACGATTCGTCCTCCAGGGTGCCGCCCTTCGACGGCGCGGCAGGGTCGAGGACAGGGGCGGTAGGGGCGGCGACAGGAGCGGCAGCAGGGGCGGCAGCGGCAGGGGCGGCAGCAGGGGCGGCAGCGGCAGGGGCGGCGGCAGGGGCGGCGGTAGGGACGGCGGCGGCGGCGGCGGCGTCGGCGAGCGCAACCTCCCCAGGCTTGGAAGCGGCGGGGGTCGTCTCCGCCACTTGCACTGGCGTGCTGGGCGAGTCGGCCGTCGCCTCGACGTCGGCCGCCTCGTGTGTCTCGACGGCCGGTGGGACGGGGCTGGCTGACTCGACGGAAGCTTTGTCGGCATGTGGGGAGGAGGTGACGGGCGCAGCCACCGCGGGCGCGGCCGCGGCCGGCACCGGCTCTGGCTCACTGGAGACCGGCTCGGGAGGGCTGGAAACCGGCTCGAGAGGAATGGACACCGCCTCAGGAGGACTACAAATCACCTCGGGAGGAGCGGAGGCCGCCTCGGGAGGACTGGGGGCTGCCTCAGCGGCGACGGATTCGGGCTCAGGAAGCTCGTGCGCGTCCTCGGTGGCGGACTCCGGTGCCGCCATCTCCTTTGTCTGCTCGGTCTCCATCTGAGGGAACACCACGTAAGTTTACTTAGACGTGAGGAGACAAGAAGTATCACACCATGCGCCATAAGCAAAGCATGTGGGGTATCACAATGCTTTCAGATATAGCAGCAACTCAAAGTGAGTGACTGATTTTGCTTGCTGGCGACAAATCGCGCAGAGCGTAAGTTACCTCACGCTGCAGAAATGCGCATGACAATCACGCGTGGCACCTGTTGTTTTTTGTTAAGTGTATGAGTGCACCACTCCACAGTCATATTATTACAGTTTGAGCAGATGTGGGCGTTGTCAGACTGACCACAATAAAATACATTTAATTCCGAACGTTAAAGTCACTCAAATTAATCAGCTCTCTTAATATGTCCATCGCCGCTATCTCAGTTTCATTGCTTATGGGAGGCTGACATAAGAGGACTAGCCTACATAGTGAGCTCACCTGCTTCTCTGGCTCCTGAGTCACATGGTTCACCTCCGGCGTCGGTGCGATGGGTTCAGGCGTGACCTCTGCGATCTCTGGCTCAGATGGCTTCTCTGCCACGCTCTTGGCCGGCTCTGGCGCCTCGGGCGGCGCGGGTGCGTCTGATTCCGCCGGCTCCCGCGGCTCCACCTTCACGTCCGCTGGCGCCGGCTCCGGCTCGGACCTCGCAGGCTCGGGAGCCTGTTCCGGCTCCGCCTCGGCCGGCTCCGGCGTCTTGGCACTGGGCGGCACAGACTCCGACGACACGGGCTCGCTGGTCGCCTCGTCTTCGGTCGAGGCGCTCGGGGCCACCACGAGCTGGTCGGCGGCCGGCGGCGGCTCTGGCGGACTGACCGACTCGACCGTTTCGGCGGCGGTCTCCTGCGCTTCTTTTAGATCTGCCTCCGGAGCTGGCTTGTCAGCTTCAAACACTTCCTCCGATTTAGCGGCTTGGTGGGTTCCGGTGTCTCTTCTGCCTCGGCAGCGGAGGGTTTTTCTTTGGCCACCTCCGCTGGCTGCTGGGAGTCCACTTCCTTTTCCGGTTCTTCTTTCATTTGCGTCGTACTCTCGGGCACGGCTGTTGATGCGGTCGACACCAGGGTCTGGTCTGGATCAGCTTTCTCGTCCTGAAATGTCGAGAGGATGTATCACAGGCCGTGATGTTTCCGACAATGTGCACTGTCTCCAGCACAGCACTCATCTGCCTGCAGTACAGCACCCATCCGTCTCCGGCACACCGCCCATCTGTCTCCAGTACAGCATTCATCTGCCTCCAGTACAGCACCCATCCGTCTCCAGCACACTACCTATCTGTCCCCAGTACAGCGCCCACCTGTCTCAAGTACAGCACCCATCCGTCTCCGGCACAGCACCCGTCTGTCTCCGGCACAGCACTCGTCTGTCTCCGGCACAGCACCAATCTGTCTCCGGCACATTACCCATTTGTCTCCGGCACAGCACCCATCTGTCTCCGGCACACACCCGTCTGTCTCCAGCACAACACCCATCTGTCTCCGACACAGCATCCGTCTGTCTCCGACACAGCACCCATCTGTCTCCGGCACAGCACCCATCTGTCTCCGGCACAGCAGCCATCCAGCCACAGACTACACTCATCTGGTCACATACTGCATCCGGGCGCTGTCTTCAAACGCTCAGACACAAGGCAAAGACACACATGCCGTGTCTTAGGGGGGCTTGCCGCGATGTTGTGCGTGTTTGCTCGATAATGTCACGGCAACCCGCTCTCCCATGCTTGTTAACAATATATAACGAAGCACGCAGTTACCCACACCGTCTGAAATCTTCAGAAATTGCGACATGCCCGCTCACGGCCCAAGAACCAGGCTTCGTTTATGAGCGCTGACTAGTTACTAAATGCCATACCGGTCGGCTGGCACACATTTGCACAATCCACGGGTTTGCAATCACACAACTGACTTAAGCGTTTTACATTGTTGCAGCAGTGCACTTGATGACCATGACAGGCGCCCCGCGTTATCGATGAAAAGTGACATGACGCTTATTCATAACTGCACAATTTGGTGATTTCAAAAATTGTAGCCACATGTTTTTAAGCTACCCGACATGCGCTCCGTGCTGCTCATAGGGCCGAGCGCCCACCCTCCGTTCCACCCACCTGCACTTCGGCTTCGCCGTTCACCTCTACGGTGACCTCCGGCTCTGAACGGCCGTCAGTGACGTCCGCCGCCGGTTTGGGGACCTCTGGTGCGGAATCGGGGACCCCTGGAGCAGGCTCTGACTCCTCCGGCGACTGTTCGGAGGCCGCTGCCGAAGGCTCGGCGACATCGGATGGCGTGTCGGACGCTTGGTCCGACATCTCTGCGCTGTCTGTGGCCTGCTCACTCTTGACTGCAGTGTCTGGGACTGGCTCCGGTGCTTCTGCGGCGACCTCGGCCGCCTGATCAGACTGCGAGTCATCTTTGACGTCATCCTGCTTCTCGGCGTCTCCGTTCGGTGATTTGTCGGGAGTGATTTCTATCTTGGGCGCGACTGGAGGGATGGGAATGACAGGCCTCTTCTTCGCTGGCTTCGCGGGGCTCTTTCCCGGAGACGACTGATCCTGGAACGGCATCAGCGCCAGTCAGAACAAATTCCCTCCAGGAAATACCACTCCTGAAACAGCGCCAGTCAGAACAGATTCCCTCCAGGAAACACCGCTCCCGAAACAGCGCCAGTCAGAACAGATTCCCTCCAGGAAATACCACTCCTGAAACAGCGCCAGTCAGAACAGATTCCCTCCAGGAAACAACGCTCCTGAAACAGCGCCAGTCAGAACAGATTCCCTCCAGGAAGCACCGCTCCTGAAACAGCGCCAGTCAGAACAGATTCCCTCCAGGAAACACCGCTACCGAAACAATGCCGGTCGGAACAGATTCCCTCCAGGAAACCTCGCTCCTCAAACAGCGACAGGACACCTTGGACAGACCACTCATCGATACTGCTCCCGGAGTAGCGCCAGCTAGTGCAGGCCTTGTATGGCACTTGCAATAAGCCGGTGCAAAATCAATCAAGGTTTACCTGGAATACATTTGCTTTCAATGTGACAGTTTGAGCTCATTAGCCAGAGGCCTTCCTCGCATGATATTTCGCATTACGTTTTCGTTTCATGCTTCGGCAGCGACAGGCGTCGTGCCGAAAAGACAGCTGCTGTTGACAGGCGACCGCTGCCGATTAAATCAGGCATGCTCAGGTCCATACTTATTTTGGTGAGATGGCTAATGGAACAGAAGCAATGTCAAAGTGACCAACGCCGGTGGATCTAAATGAGGGATTGCGCGGTCCGTCATTTAAAACCAAAGTGCCCTGAGTGTAAGGAACGGTAAGTGTAAATTGCGGGATCTCGACCGGAATTAGGAACCACTTCCATCAGAGGCGTTCGAATCTCGCAAAACAGCAGACCTTCCAGCGCCTCATCCTGAGCGAGATGTCAGCAAAACGTCGGGGAATGCGGGAGGCATGCCTGCGGGAGGAATGCAGCCGGGCGGCGGGGCGGCGCGCCGCCGGGCCGATCTGCGCAGTGGGGGCTGCGCAGAGGTGACCGGTGACCTTTCGCCGGCAGCGCGCCGGTCTGCCGGTGCTGGCGACGTGCTGAGTACCGGCGGCTTGAGCAGGCATACCGGTCTCGCCTCGGGAAGGACCGTGCAAACAAGCTGGTTATAAATGCAGTGGGTAGAGCTACACTGGCGGCGTGTCAAATAATTGTTTGTGATTCATGTCGGTGATTCGTCAGCCGTGGTTCGTTATCAAACTTGTCTGTGGTTCGGTGATTGTAGAACTAACTACTCCTTGCTGGTCTATTTTCATTCTATTAGGCGAGAATAAAGTTTTCAGGTTTTTGATAGAACAAAGTTCGCTTCCCTGCGTTTCCCATTTGAGCTGCATTCTTGTCCTGTCCACAATTCCAGCTGAGACATCTCGGCCCCACATTGATAGGCCCAACTTTCAGCGGAAGGCCGGCCGTTACAGTCACATTCACTGTACGCAAGCCTTGAAACGTCGGTCACCTGCCCATAATGGCCCGACGCCTGAACTCTACACATTTAAGACATTGGCCTAAAAGCCCCGCTTCACGCAACTCACGGCGTAATCGCGCTCACAAATCTACATTACCCAGAAACATGACTCGGGCTGATTTCTCCTAAATAGCTTCGCGGGAGCGGTATTCTTCAGCCTAGAATACCGACAGCAGTGGTCAAATCGTGTACCGCCGACAGCGCTGAATGTTGACGCCACTTTAGCGTCCCTGGCATCATGCGTGTGCTCGAACCGCCCTACCCGTGCTGGTCTGAGTCGAACCGCCCTACCTATGCTGGTCTGAGAGAGGCGCGAGGGGGGAGGGAGGCAGCAAATCACGTTGCGAAACTCACGCGGTGCGTTTTAGAGCCGACCGGACCCACCAGTGTGCCGTTAAAGTCACTATTGGCGGCCAATGGCGTCCGGATCAGACGCCGAGGCGCGGTCTGTTCTGCGCCGCGCGCGAGGCAGTCGCAGTCGCACGGTAGGGCTGTTTTCTTGGAACGACTTACATGCTCAGGGGCCTGCCTGCCCACGGACGGCGAAGAGAGGACCGGGCCATGCCAATGCACAACTCTTGGAAATTTATGGAATGCTTATGATATGTCTAAATGTCATGCATATATATATATATATATATATATATATATATATATATATATATATATATATGTATATGCGATTTTTTACTCCAAAGAAAAAAACCGGGCGTTACGCTACAGGAATTGTAATGACATGTGACTGCACGGGCTGGAGCGCTAAGAGTTATATTCCACACATGTAACAAATCACGTTTTATCTTGGCCCACCAACCTTTAAATTTACCTATCGCTGCACCAAACACGATTTCGAATGCATAGGTCAACCAATGCATTGAACACTATTGCACCTTAGCACACGATGTACATATATATATATATATATATATACATATATATATATATATATATATATATATATATATATATATATATATATATATGTGTGTGTGTGTGTGTGTGTGTGTGTGTGTGTGTGTGTGTGTGTGTGTGTGTGTGTGTGTGTGTGTGTGAACGTATACATACATGTAACGTATACTCAATATGCAACATACATATTACATACTGAGACAGTCATTTGTACTGCAGAGATTAACCCACACTCAGCGGCAAATGAGCTTAAAGGAGGTAGGCCAGATGAAAATATTGTTTTAGCGATTAACATGTGTATATTATTCGCTGATCCGGTTTCACTTCTAGCATTCGTTTTGCTAGGAATCTTCTCTTAATGCTGTAATTATTTTTGTAAATTTCGCCCTGACAGAGATAAGATGGGAGGTGAGCAGAGCCACGTGCTCTTTCGTCTGATGGCGTTCAGTATTACGCCGCTGCGGTACCCGAGTGGTCTTACACCGTTGCAACGTACTTCTGTAGCGTCACGCCCAGAGACCAAGCATACTAGTGGCAATGTTTCGGCTCCTCGGCATTTGTTGACGATGAGCAGCTGTTTTTCTTTACCTTTGGAGTCAGAGCTCTCTTCCCGCTCTAGCATTTTTTTTTTAGAATCACGCTGGCGAGCGCAGTTGTGCTAACAGTGAGAAGTCAGTGCATTCATGACATCGCAAATTCTAACCGCGAATTTGGAACAGGGAATCGTCAGTGAGACGCAAAATAACCGGGACGTAAAATAACTTCAAGCGCAGCTCTCTGAGTCCGCTGGCAGCAGCTTTCTCACTGACGTCACCGGGTGGCACGTCTCTGATTGCTGATTTTCCGAGTCGGCAGCGCCGCCACTTTCTACAGTGCAGATGGCGAACAGGCCGGCCAGCCGAGGTCACTGGGTGACGATTGCTGCTGTTGCGCCACGCTCTCCGGCGACCGGGGATCCTCGGCTGGCTGGTCCATGACCGCCACATGGCGCCAGTGCCCGATCACGTTTGCAGACGGTCAGTGGTCTCGGATAGTTGGATGCCCAGTGCATACCGGTTAGATAAGCGGAGAAAACGGGGCTTGCGCCAGTTGTGCCGGCGGGTGACATTCTTTCGCTCTACATTTCCATACGTTTTTAACTTCCCCCCTCTCCCTCTCTCTCCCTCTCTCTCCCTCTCTCTCTCTCTCTCTCTCTCTCTCTCTCTCTCTCTCTCTCTCCCTCTCTCTCTCTCCCCCCTCTTCTCTCTCCCTCCCTCTTCTCCTCCTCTTCTCTCTCTCTCTCCCTCTCCCTCTCTCTCTCCCGTTCTCTCCCTCTCTCTCCCTCTTTCTCTCTCGCTCTATCACTATCCGTCATCTGCTTTCCCTTTCCTTACCGGCATAGTGGTCCCCGAAACCCGACCATGGCCCGCTCACCTTGAGTGAGCGACATTAAAACCGGCCCCAAGTCCAGCCCAGGTGAATACTGACGGTCAACCGGTCCCCGCCTGAGGCCACGTGCCCCTGTTCTAGACCATCTGAACGACTGGCGGGATGCTGTGAAGAAAGGCAGATGTTGCGCAGGTCTAAGCAGGTAGGCGAATGCTGCGCAGAAGAGGTAGTGGCGGGCGCGGCAATGCACCAGGTCATGAATAAGGCGAGAGGCTGTTCGAGTGGCTCGTTTGCAGCTCGCGTTTGAAGCAGCCTGGTCACCGCGAGGGTCGCACCAGAGGGTCGTCCTACGGAGGTCGAGCTGACTGAGCCTTTTCGTCAATGGGCCTTGTTTTCAAGCGTGGTGACGCAGCGGAAGCCATCACATACTTCTGCGTCAGCTGGTGTTTGAAATGTTTGCGTCCGGGATGGTGGGGAAATTTGACAACGCATCCAAAAGCTGGAGAGCTCGACCTCCATCGCTGCCAATAACGTGAGCCTCGTAAGCGAGGTGTGAAAACGTCCTCAGCGGTGGCGAGCAGGCACGTCAGTTTGACAGGCACTTCGCGTAACCGGGGTAGAAGCTCGAACCTGACAGCTCAGCCCGTCACGTCAAGCCACAAAGCGCTAGTACCTTATACAGTAACGTCGCGAGTCTTAGCGAAGACTTGATGTTCCTGTTGCCCAACTTATCAAACATTAAGGAAGACGTTATCATGTAAACTTGTCACACACAATCGGTGAATTTGTTTTCAAATATGCTGACGGGGAAGATAATTTAGAGCCGTAACACTTGATTTCAAGTCAACAGTGGGTATTGTAAAACACATACTCCGTGCAATTCGTTGAAGAGAATCGCAGTCACGTGTCTGACATTGAAAACGCCTCCGCAAACCACCAACGGGCACCTTTTCAATCAAAATTTGCGTAAAGTAGTGCAGCCGGCCCAGGCAACAAACACGCTTTCATCAACAGCGGCATTGCTCGCTTTCATTTCTTTATAACGCTCCCATATTGTGCGGGATCTTTTCACGGGATGAAATGGCCAGTGAATGAAATTCCATACACCAGTGATGTATGTGATGGCCAGTAATGGCCAGTGAAAGAAATGAAATTTCATACACCTTCCTTGCTGTATCAATGCAGCTGACCTGTCGTGACCCATAGATCAATAGTTTCGAACTTGATCAATTTCTTTGACTGAAATTGCCAGGCCTGACAGAACCTTTAG